AGGCTCCTATCAACTAAGTTGTATTGCTTACTAAATATATATTTTAAGATAACAGCGGATAATGCACAGAATACATTAAAATATAAGATAATATAAACCACAGGAACTATAGGAGGCTATGTATTTTAGGAGAAAGGGGATGAGAATCTGAACTAAGGCAGTAACAACAAGAAAGTATAAAAGACAGAAGGGAAACAAGTCTTTGTTAGAATGAACATAATCTGTTGACTCACTAGATGCTGTGTGTGAGATAGAAAGAGATTAAAAAAGACTGACCCTGAAATACAAGGGGAGGGAGATGCTTAGCAATTCCACTTGAAAGAGTTAGTGCTCAGTTTCTACTCAGGCAAGGAAATGGGATAAGATTCATAAAGATGTGATGATGGAACAAGAAACATGACTTCCAAAAGGATGACTTTCTGCAACTGCCTGGGCTGTCAGAGCTTTCCAGGGTCTCCCCTGGGGAGGGACTATCACGATTCTCTAAAAGCAGCGCTCCAGCCTTGCGTAGAATGGCCCAGATGTGGTATCTCAGAGTCCCCAACTTTGAGAGAGGTGGGTTCAATGTGTTTTAAGTTAAACACAATTTGGTTCTCAGTTCCTTTTGAAATTTCCCTAGAACACTGTGTTACAGTGTTAAGTGAGCCAATATTGCCGGTGCCATTGATTTTTTTCATTCTTAGTTGTTAAAAAACTAGGTGTATCTTTTTCTAAGGAATTATTTCAGAAATTCGAAATGTTTTTGTCATAATAAAGACCAGGGAAACTGTATGGAAATTTTGATAAAGTCCATCCTCACTACTATGAACAAATGAATGAACAAACAAACAAACCAGCAAATAAATAAATTAGAGGTTGACAATACATCTAAGTTTCAACCTAACAGCTTTCTTTTCTAACAGGTAGAGGTTAAGGAAGACTAACCCTGAAACACAAGGAGAGGGAGATGTTAAACCACTTCACTTGAGAATTCCACTAAACAGTTCCACCAAATCTACTGTGTTGATGATAATTCTCAAGATAGATAATATAGGTAGAGGAGCAAAATCGGGAATGGTAAAGGTTATACATATATATATAGATGAGTTTTAGTCTTCTGCAAAATATCTACTGGGCAATATCTAACAAGCACTTGGAACTTGGCTTTGCTGAGGTCACAGAGGGATAGACACTTGGGAGTCATCAGGGTTACACATGGAAAAGGTCGTGATCTCCCATGAAGAGCTTATACAGTAAAATGAGATGAAAATTGAAAGTAAAATTCTAAGAAGCACTAATAGTAAAGGACAGGAGAGTAAAGAGAAACTAAAACATGATAGATTATGAGTAAACAGAGCTAGGAAAAGAAACAACGGAGAAATTTCCACGGAAGTCAAAGAGGTATTTCAAATAATGGGGCGGCCAAGTAGAGTAAAGAATGAACAGAGGCCACTAGAAGTTGCTTTGACCTACATCCGAGTAGTTTAAGCAGAAATAGAAACCAGAATGCAGTAAGTGAAAAAGAAGTTACAAGAGAAACCTAGGCTGTTCTGTAAGGAAGTAGGCTGGTGAGAAGACAGTAAAGGAGATATCACGTGGATAAGCAGAGTCAAGACAATAATTTTTACCAGGAGGAAGACAAAACTTTTCTTATAGGAATAAAAAAGCCATTTTATATGTTTTTAAAAATTGAAAAGATATATACATTCAAGACTTCTACAAGGCATAACTCACCATCAACAAAACAAAGATAACCTACTGAATGGGAGAAGACACTCCCCAATGATACATCTGATAAGGAGTTAATATTCAAAATATATAAGGAACTCATACAACTTAAACACAAAAAACAGAAACAAAAAAACACACCAAACAATCAAATTTAAAAATGGGCAAAGGACCTAAATCGACATTTCTCCCAAGAGGACAAACAGATGGCCAACAGACATACAAAAAAGATACTCAAGATCACTAGTCACTAGAGAAATGCAAATAAAAACCACAATAAGATATAACCTCACACTTGTCAGAATGGCTACCATCAATAAACCAACAAACAACAAATATTGGTGAGGATGTGGAAAAAAGGGAACCCATACACTGTTGGTGGGACTGTAAATTGGTACAGCCTCTACAGCAAACAGTATGGAGGCTCCTCAAAACATTAAACACAGAATTACCATATGACCCAGCATTTCTACTTCCAAAGAAATCCAAAACACTAATCTGAAAAGACAACATAAATAAACAAACAAAATAGAAACAAACTCCGAGATACAGAGAACAGATTGATGGTCACCAGATGGGGGGGGTGGGGGTGGGGAAATGGGTGGAAAATGTGAAAGGGATTAGGAAGTACAAATTCCCAGTTATGAAAATAGTCACAGGGGGAAAAAATAGCCACAGGGATGTAAATTACACAGGGGATATAGTTAATAATACTGTAATAATTATGCATGATGTCAGATGGGTACTAGACTTATTGGGTTGATCTTTTCATACAGTATATAAATGTCTAATCACTGCGTTGTATACCTGAAACTAATGCATGATTGTGTGTCAACTGTAACTGAAAAGTAAATTTAAAAAAATAAAAGAATGAATCAACTAAAAATAAGACAGCTCCTACATAATATTTAGGCATTAGTGATTATTGAAGAAAGATGGAGTGAACCGGGTGTGAGGTACCTTCCTATCCCACCGCTGCTCTCTGCCCGGAACTCAAGGCAGCTAGGCTGGCAAGGACCACGTCACCACATTCACACTCACCCTCAAAATATCCAACCCATGGGAATGTCCTGAATTGCCCAGTTATCACGCCCTCTGAAGGCCAGTTTGAGCAAGAAATGGAGAAGTTCCATCAGGGAGAGTGGGCCCTTGAAAGTCTATGTCCAGTCAGGGTTAGGGAGGTCATTTTCCTTAAATACACAATGATAAACAGAGAAATGTGATCTTCAGAGAGAAACAGAAGCTCAGAGAAAAGTCACAGTGCAAACAATATGTGGCCTGAAAGGGGGGCTGGGGAGAGGGAGGGAGAGAGAGAGAGAGAGAGAGAGAGAGACAGAGAGAGAGAGACAGAGAGAGA